CATTTTATACGGACCTAAGTGGGGCCCACGTGACGTGGGCGTAGACTATTGGCTCTTCAGAATGCGCGTACGCGCACGGGGGTACCAGAATGCGCGTACGCGCACGGGGGTACCCATCTGCGATAGCCTTAGAGGGCGGAGCTTACACGAAATAGAACAGGAAGTGGGTTCAGGAGGAACAGGAAGCTGCAAACATTCGTCTCACTGACAAAATAAATAAATAAAAATAAAGTTTGTTTCCTCAGTGAGAGAATAAAGGAGCTGCTGCCGTCAGCTCCTCACCTCAGTCTGTTTCTTAAAGTTCAGACTGCAGACATGTTTCTGTCCCTCTGTCCTCTCTCCTCTCTCCTCTGTCCCTCTCTCCTCTGTCCTCTCTCCTCTGTCCTCTCTCCTCTGTCCTCTCTCCTCTGTCCCTCTGTCCCTCTGTCCTCTGTCCTGAGGACAATGCTCCTCTGTCTCAGCAGGGCACTCGTTGCCCCCTCACAGGTCCGGACCGGGCCGGGCGGGTCCAGCTGGACCGGCCTGCAGCTGAGTCACAGTTCTGAGCCGCCCACTGGATCCTGGTTTATATTTAGTTCTGTTTCCTGACCCGACCCGTTACCAGGCTGCAGGTACGGAACAGAACCAGTTTATAGTTTTGTTCCTCCAACAGAAAAACACAAAACGAAAAGTTTCCAATTAATCTGAGAATGAAAAGAAAAAAAAGCTAAAATGTTTCATGTTTGTTTCAGTAAAAATGTAATAAATTCTGTTTAATGATGTGAAACAAACGGTTTCCTTCTAATAAAAAAGTTCATCTAATTAAAACTTCACACAAATCCTGAAACTTCAGCTGCGAGAACAGAAACCCAGAACCAGTTCTGTGCTCGTCTTCATTTGTCTGTTAGCAAAATATCTCATGAACCAAAGAATCTGATGAGTTTGATCCAATAACTCAGTTTGGTTTGAATCCATGGAAACATAAAAACATCTGGATGTTTCTGCTGATGTTGGTGGAAGGTTTACCTGCTGCAGGGATGAAGGTGAACCGTTGGTACTGACTCCTCTTCCTCTTGCCGTTGCAGACGTAGAAGTTGACGTGGACCGGAGCTGAGAGGTGCTGGGTTCTGTAGGGCGGGACTTCRACCAGCAGGAAGTTCTGAAACACAAAAACAAACAGTCCTTACTGTTAGAACATGAACCTCTGCCTCATCTCTTCTCATCATCTAATCTCATCTCATCATCTCATCGTCTAATATATCATTCTCATCTTGTCTCCTCATCTAATCTCATCTCATCCTCTTGTCTCATCTCACCTCATCTCATCTCGTCTCATTTCGCTTCATCTAATCTCATCTCATCRTCTAATATCTCATTGTCTCATCTCTTCATCTCATCATCTCATCTCATTGTCTAATCTCATCTCGTCTCCTCTTCATCTCGTCTCCTCTTCATCTTGTCTCATCTAATATCTCATTGTCTCATCTCATCATCTCATCGTCTAATATATCATTGTCTCATCTTGTCTCCTCATCTTCTCTCATCATATAATCTCATCTCATCTCATCCTCTTGTCTCATCTCACCTCGACTCATCTCGTCTCGTTTTGCTTCATCATCTAATCTCATCTCATCGTCTAATATCTCATTGTCTCATCTCTTCATCTCATCTCATTGTCTAATCTCATCTTGTCTCCTCTTCATCTTGTCTCATCTAATCTTATCTCATCTTGTCTCATCTAATATCTCATTGTCTCATCTCATCTCGTCTCATTTCGCTTCATCATCTAATCTCATCTCATCTTGTCTCATCTCTTCATCTCATCTCATCTAATCTAATCTCATCGTCAAATATCTCATTGTCTCATCTTGTCTCCTCATCTCTCATCATCTCATCCTCTTGTCTCATCTCATCTCATCTAATCTCATCTCATCGTCTAATATCTCATTGTCTCATCTCTTCATCTCATTGTCTCCTCTTCATCTTGTCTCCTCTAATATCTCATTGTCTCATCTCAATATCTCATCTCTTCATCTCAGTCCTGACTCAGTCTGTCATCCTTCAGGACTCAGGTTTGATTGAACTGAACTTTTCCTCTGAACATGACAGAGTTGATCAGATTCTTGTTTCGGATGTTTTAGTTTTTTTGTTCTTGGTTCTGAGTTTGTGCAGCAGCTTTAACCCTGAACCGGGTCTGGATCCTGCTGGTTCTGCTGGTCTTGTGGGTCACTTACAGGTTTGGAGGCGTCTCTCTCCACTTTGGCTTCTGCCTCCCAGAGATGGTGACCGTCTGCAGATAAGAAGAGAAACAAAACCCTGGATCAGAACCAGAACCAACAGCTGCTGGAACCAGACCCAGAAGGTTCTGTTAAACTGGGTTTTTCCCATCAGGCTGCTGGAACCACGAGCCTGTTAAACCGGATCTGGACCTGGTTTAATGAACACGAAGGGAACCTCCGACTCATTAACAGAACCTCAAACCTCTGAGCTGGATCCTTCAGAACCGAGGTCCGTCTCAGACCCAGTGTGTGGGCCGGTTCTGTTTGTACCAGGACTCCAGTACGGCTGATAACCACAGAATGTTCTGGAGTTTTGGATCAACATCTGCTCCCCTCCCTCCAGTTTTTACTGGTTTCTGCTCCCGGCCCACTGTGCTGGACCGGGTCCAACACCTCAGCCAAGAACCGCTCCCTGAAAYCAGCCCCACGTATAAACACAGAACCGATCCTTCAGAACCGCCTTCAGAACAGGTTCCTACTCTCTGAGGACAAACAGAACCAGAGGTGGAGTCCTGACCCCAGTCAGAACCATCAAACAGAACCAGCTCAGTTTTTTGACCCGTTTTGTTTAGAACCTGAATCAAACGGGTCTTTGTGCTCCTGCAGAGGAGCTGGGTGGAGCAGGACTTCAGTGCCCAGAGTGAAGCAGCGAGTTGGACCGGGTCCAGACCTCAGATGGTCCAGTAAATACAAACACATGCGGCGCCGAGACTCAAAGAACCACTTCTCCTCCGACCCAAACGGGCCTGGAAACATCTCATCTTTGTTTCAAACAAGATTCAAAAAGTTCTGGACTCTCATTTTAGCTACTGTTGCAGCAGAACCGGTGCTGCTCCATCGGGTCTCTGATTTACCCTGACCTGACCCAGCAGAACCTGAATGTTTTCAGATCCTTTCAGACGGTCTGCAGAGGAAGAACAGCTGAAGAGTCTGATCCCTCAGAGGCAGAACCTGCAGCCGAACAGAAGCTGAAGACAAAAACTGGTTTTTATTTGAAAGGATCCAGAACCAGAAGCTCGAAAAATCTGGACGAGTCCACGGAGATTAGTTGAAAACAACCAGCTAAAATTAGCACAAATAACAATGAAGCTAAAATAGCACAATAAAGCTAAATTAGCACAAACAAATCTCAAATCTGTCAAAAAAAGCTAATATTAGCACAGCAAACAATAAAGCTAAAATAGCACAATAAAGCTAAAATTAGCACAACAACAATAAAGCTAAAATTAGCACAAAAAAACTAAAATTAGCACAACAATAAAGCTAAAATTAGCACAAAAAAAC